TTGTGTGTGTGTGTGTGTGTGTGTGTGTGTGCGCGCAGAGATCAGTGACCAGTGCACACCGCCTCCATGCTACAAGGAGGGATCAGTGCGCTGCCTGGACGGACAGGCCACCTTCACCTGTGAGTGTAAACCTGGATGGAAGGGGCAGCGCTGTGAAGACGGTGAGTTGTTATGCGTCATTTAGGGTTTTAAATATTTGTGTTCATCTTCTCAATATTTACTCGTCTCTGTGCTTTTTGGCTGACATAAACATAACACACTTTATCTATATCTGCTCCCGATAAATGTTGTTGTGTTATGTGACCACTTGACAGACATCGATGAGTGTTCAGACCCTGAATTTCCTGCGGGATGCAACCAAAAATGTTACAACATACCCGGTAGTTTCCGCTGCATGTGTGAAGATGGCTACTTCCTCATTGACAAGGTCTACTGCAGGGGTAAGTCTCCATTCATTTATGATGCAATTTGTGCTCCTAAACTGTAATAATGTTATGAACCATTCATTTTTTTTCAATCAAACCAAAGGACAGAAAAGTAAAGTGTGTGCGTGTTTGTTTGTGTAATTGTTGCTCTTATGTCACATATGTAGACACCCAGCAGTTTTTACTGTCCTTATGGAGGAGGGACATATAGTGCTACTAAGCAGCTGAGCAAACACATGTTTCTTCCCCTTCCTTTTGATAACTTCCTTTACATTTTTTATTATGGACAGCGGAACCCTACGCACTTCATAATAAAACCTCTGTTGTCCAGCTGTCGTCCTCAGGGCCTGAATTTCTTATTTCTAAAGCTGACCTGAGGTGACCTCTTATGCAACTGAATGAAAAAAGGCTTTTAACATCAGAAAAGAGGGTCCATCCTTTTTTTCTGTAAAAATCCCACCAGTATCACATCTCTGAGCTGTTATACTTGCTTATAGATTGTAGATGCTTGTTTTCCCATTGTTGGCCCATTTCCATCCGTCCATTTTTGTTTGGGGACATCACGTTAGGGCTTGTTGAGTACAAAGTCTTCACAAACATGGTCTGAGTCATTTTGGTAAACTTATTCTGACCTCTACTTTTCGATGGGCTGCTATGATTAAGGAGACCATACAAGGATTGATGAAGTTTCAAGCAAACACTGATATACATTTTTTTTTTGTTGGAGCATACAAGTTAGTTGCAAATCAAACACATTTGCAATTAATTAATTAAATGTTTTTTGTTTTTATTCACGGAATGGCCAGAAATATTGAAAAATGCCGCAAATACTCCCATTGTCACTCTTTTCCAGATATCGATGAATGCCTGATGTACCCCAGGATCTGTGAAGCACCGGCTAAATGTGTCAACACGCCGGGCATGTATGAGTGCGGCTGTCCTCTGGGTTTGAAATACAACTTCACATCAAAAACTTGTAACGGTGAGACTTCTATCTGTTGTTCCTATCTTCTTACCAAGAGCCATTTTGTCAGAAAGTCCACAAATCAACAAAGCTACCAAAGCCAATGTACAAATGATCACCGCTCATATGTCTTTCTCTTCCTTTTTTTTGCAGATATTGATGAGTGCCTGTTAAATGTGTGTGACGGGACTTGTATCAACACAGTGGGCAGCTATGCGTGCCACTGTGATGGTCGTCAGGGTCTTCGTCTGGCCGAGGGTCAGCGGTACTGTGAGAGTATCCCTGTTTGTGTGGATCTGTATGACCACAGACACCCTGAGATGCTATACCTGGGGGAGCAGTTCGCAGGACTTCCTGTCATCTATCTGCGCTTCCGTCTGCCAGAGAACACCAAGTGAGGGGCTACCAAAAACACACACATAATGTAGTGTACTTTTTAAAAATGAAGTAAGAAGTGATATTTGCCCCATTTAGTATGAGGATAGAAGTAGAATGTTTTTAATAATTGAGATGCTGGGATTTAGATGTTTGCAAGATGCAGCTCAAGGTTCCATTTCAGCCCATTTGAACTATAATAAACATATTTTATGTAAATTCCATTACTGAAAATTACGAAGTCAGGAAATGCCTAGAAAGTGAGTGGGCTGCAACATTGTATTGTCAATTTATTTACATTCTCTCTAAACTCTTATTTATGTCCTCATGTTCTTGGCAGGTTCGCAGCAGAGTTTGATTTCCGCACATTTGACCCTGAGGGAGTGATACTGTATGCCGAGTCCTCGCAGGACTCGTGGTTTATGTTGGGACTAAGAGGCGGACGCATTGAAGTCCAGTTCAAAAACCAGCACACCTTCAAAGTCACCAGCGGAGGAAAGGCCATCAATGATGGACAGTGGCATGTGGTAAGAAAGAGCTTTTAGTGGATCAGTAGTAGAGCTTTTCATAGTTAAAGTGCCTAATCGATAAACAGAATTTACGGAAAGTGGTGTGTGTTGCGTCTAACTGTTTGCTCTGGTGCTTAACTGTTTAGATTGTAAAGTAAGAGAGTTATAATGATACAAACTGTGTGAAACATGCAGATCTCTGTGGATGAACTGGAGAGCAGCATCAGTGTGAAGATCAGCAAGGAAGCTGTGATGAGCATCAACAGCCCTGACAGTCTCTTCACTTCAGTTAACGGCAAACTGGAGACCAAGGTTTACATCGCTGGTCTGCCCAACCGCACTGACAACGTCATCAAACCTGTAAGGAGAGCGCCTAACACACACACACACACACACACACACACACACACACACACACACACACACACACACACACACACACACACACACACACACACACACACACACACACACACAATGAATCACACAGCAAACATGGGCCCTTTCTCTTGTGACCACATCTAATCGACCTTACTTAAACACACAATATGTTTCCTACTACACTAGTTCTCTCCATCAAAGCAATACAAAACACAAGTTTGGTGGCACGGTGAAGTTTTGAAAGTTTGGCATTGCAATCTGTTTTTGCATGTCAGGACTCCATCATCGATCATTGTTCCGTAGCCAAATTATCAGCAGAGGTCTATTCCTTTCCAGAAGAAAAAATCCTGGTAGCCGTTTCATGATAAAAATCAGTGTTTCCACAATGCTGTTCTGCTGCTGTTAATGTCTTTTGACTAAAATCCTTCATCCTTGTATATATAAAGTTTTAAAAAAATTGAGAAATCTTAAAAAGTGTATTGTGAAAATGTAGCTTATGACTGGAAGTTATAAGCCTCACTGAAGCCACACTGTTACTTTACTACAGCTTCTAGCAGACAACCACATCACTGACACATGCCCAAAGGCCATACAACATTAGAGGCAACCAAATAAAACAGATTTTTATCTTGAGTTCAGATTTCTCTAGGTCTGAAAGACATTTGTAAGTTCACAATTAGACAATTTCGTTTATCGCTTTGAGACATTTTAACACAGATATGTTACATAATTTCCCTTTAATAACATATTGAAATCAATATACCAGGGTTTACATCAGACCTGCTCTGAGACAGTGTTATACTCAGTGTGTATCCATGGATCCACCAGATCAACCCTCGCCTTGACGGCTGCATCCGGGGCTGGAACCTGATGAACCAGGGAGCGTCTGGGGTAAAGGAGGTCATCCAGGAGAAGGAGAGTAAACATTGCTTTGTGTATGTGGAACGAGGGTCTTTCTTCACAGGGGCAGGACTGGCACAATTCAACATTGACTACAGTGAGTAAGTTAAGTTATACTTTATCAATCTTATATTTTAGGAGCATTAAAGGTGGGGTAGGTACGTTTGAGAAACCGGCTCGAGATACACTTTTTGTTATATTCCATGGAATGCTCTTAACATCCCGATAGCAATGAATATCTTACGTGCTTTGACAAAGAATCCATAAAAAAATGTCATCTGTGGAAGCCTTTAGTGCTGTAAAAAGCACGACCAATCATCTGAACCGGCCCGGCTAAAATAACTGGATGGCCTACCTGCCTGTCAGCCTTCCATCTGTGCACAAACTTATCTCGTGCCCTCATTGGTCATGTGCGCGTTCGTGTGTGTTGGAGGAGGGCCTCTGTAAGGAAGTGGCAGATTTGTTCCGGCTGTGTATTTTGTAATTCTAGCGCACTCGAGCTGGTTTCTCCAAAATTACCTACCCCACCTTTAAGCAGCCACAGCGCAATTTTGCAGGTACAAATGTAGTTATATGCAGTACATAGACACATGTATTTATTGCTTCAAAAAATGACATGTAACATCTACACTGATGGGAAATCCTGTTACAAGGTGACGATTTCTCTAGGGGACCATGTGATTTTGAATTTTCAAAGAAATTCACAAAACTTAGTAAACAAACTTTAAGATCCTCCAATTCACTTGGAAACTTGGAAATGCCCAATGTTCTTCAAAGTCCAACCCGACAAAAGAGGTGTGTGTGTGTGTGTGTGTGTGTGTGTGTGTGTGTGTGTGTGTGTGTGTGTGTGTGTGTGTGTGTGTGCAACTAGGTGATTCTGGCAGCTGGAGTCTGGATTTAAGGATGAGTATTCGTCCATCCAGCAGCACAGGGATCATCTTTGCTCTCGTCCAAAACAACACAGTCCCACTGTCGGTCGCCGTGGTAACACAGGGAGAAGATGATGCTGTGAGTTCATTTACACTTTAGTTGTAAAATCACACATCTGTGTATGTCTTCACAAACATATAGGAGCACGAGCACCCATGACTAAACATGCCAATGTTTTTGACCTACCTGCTACAGAACCTGCAAGTGTTCTTGTACGGCGTCTCCGTGGCAACGCTGGACTCACTGATGTTGTGTTACCCCGACCGGTTGACGCTGCAGCTGAACGTGACTCCAACAGACATCCAGCTGACAGCCAACTCCTCCACTGTTACCTACATGAAGTCTGGTGCCCTGCTGGAGGCCCTGCAGCGCCTCAACAGCACCATGCAGGACCCCGTCAGTACATACGTTGGTGGGATACCAGGTTCGTTGAAGTGGCAGAAGAACTAAGAACATCAGGTTTTAGATATATATGGTCACAATTAAAGGGCCATTGTGGCTTCTTGCTACAATCTTACAGTAAAAATACAAACAAGTCTGCATATATTTCTCAGAAAGCTTTCTCAGAGATTTCCTTATAGAAGAAAAGAAGAACAAAGCAAAGTAACAAAGGAATATCCTCTCAATTGTGCTGAAAAAGCACTACTGCAGGCTTTTCTCCCCAGCAGCTAAATGAGGCTGCACTCAGGCGCCATGGGGCTTTTAGATAAATGCTTATGTCATTGTGCTGTCATACTCTCAGTAACATTACTAACCAGTGTTGGGAAGGTAAGTTTTCAAATTCAATAGGCTACAGAATATTTGTTAACTGGTTAACAATGAAATAAGTAATGTTTGTATTTGATTACCTAATCAAAGTAATGCAATTTATTACATTTGATTTAATTTTGATTACTTTTCTAACATAACATCGAACAAGTGGGCAATACAGCTAAATGTTTCCTCCGGTTTGACATCTAGCAAAATCAATGTTGAGAAATGTCTTACTGCTGGTAAAATAAATATAAATACTGCACAGTTTACATTTTTGACCAGATGATGGCACTAGATTAAAACTGTAAGTGTTCAAAGTGGTTGAAATGCAGCCAAAAGCCGTTTCATGACAAATAGTTTTGGAGGTATTTCACTTTTTCTGGGAATCAAAAAGCAACAAGCAACAGAAAACCCAATATTGGAATGCTTTCCTCCCGCTTGTTCAGATTGGTTACTTGGCTGAAGTTATATTGTGTTATACCTATTATAACACAATATAACTTCAGCAAAGTAATTCCCTCCTGATGTGGACTACAACATTTGAAATGTCATTGTAAGATTGTTTAGATATTGTTAACTATGTCAGAAGTTTGACTCATCTCCATCCAGTATGATGGTCCATTTTGTTAAACTAAACCACATGAATGCAGTTTAATCTCTCTTTGACCTGTGAATGTGTTTGTGTAGCATGTTATAACCTGGATATTTGAAATGGCTTTATAAATCATCATCTCTCATTATTCTTATTCTCACTCTCCCTCTCTTTTAGAAGATGTCCCATTACCTGCCACCCCTGTGACGGCCTTCTACCACGGCTGCATGGAGATCACTATCAACAGCCAGCAGCTGGACTTTGACAATGCCCTCAGAAAACATAACAGCATTAAATCCCATTCCTGTCCACCTGTGTCTGCCCCTGAGAGTCACCCTGCCGCACCGCACCCGCACTGAAAGTGACCTAAATGAACATCATATTGAAAAGCCCTCACTTTTTAAGCATCCCACAGCGGCCACTTCTTGGGATATTTTGGAAAGAGAGATATAGAATAGAAGAGGAGAAGGGGGCGAGGAAGGAGAAGAGAAATAAGTGAGGTAGACAGTTATAGTCATTTTTGTCGACTTTCTCTGATGGGTTCATTTTAAGCTTTGTCTTATTCTTTTCAACCATACAGTGTTATAGTCCTGTCTTGGGAGTTTTTTTTGTTTTTGTGAGGCATAACGAAAGCTGGCTTGCCAGTGAGCTAGTGGGAAGCTAGATGGCTGGATGACGTAGTTGTAGCAGTTTGTTGCAATGAATAAAATGCTTTCCAAGAAATGCTTGAAAAGAGCTGAGCTCTGTGGCATGCATACCATGTGTTGAGTAAAAGCGATGTTTATGTTTAATGTAGAAAAATAAACAAATGGTCACTGTTGACCAGGCTTTGAGACCACCTGCATCTCTTTTCCTGTTGTTGTATTGGTACTGGGTCTAAATTCCATGTAATTTTCCACTTGTGGAGGCAAACGTCTGGAGGCAACTACAAATTGTGGTTGTTGGTTGTGGCGATGAAACCATAGAGGAGAAGCTTAGCCTTAAGCCTTTATATTATCTGGTTTCAACCATTATCTGACTTCCTGAGGTGTTGCATTGGGTTAGTACGTTTAAGAAACTGACTTAATGTTTCATTTGAAAAAAAACTGAAAATATAATAACTAGTGTTAAGCACAGCATACTAACTTATTTCCAGGTATTAGGACTTATTCCTGTATCACTCTAGGTCTTAGAAGACAATCTTCAACTTCTGCTATCTCCGTCCACATATACAGGTTTCTCCTGGTTGGTCCCTCTGTTCAATATTCACAGTGTATTTAAAACAAGCCATCTTTAATATAACTTAAATGTAGATGTTCAGTGTTGTGTTTGTTTAATTCTTGTTTTAATAAAATCGGTCAAAGCAATCGGATAGTGTTTATTTTAAAATTGCATCTATCTGTCCTCTTGCCACAGAGAGTGGAATGGGAATACAGAAGAAAAGTGAGCAGATCAGCAAGGCAATTACAAAATGAAAGTGCAATGAGACAGATATGTTGGTCAAACAAGATTCAGGAAAAACAAAACAGAAAGGAAAATTACTTGAAAAATAAGAAATGGGTGTGAAATAACGGCACTGAACGTTTTGTAATGACAACACCATTAAAGTAGAGGAAGAAGCTCTCATGTCCTTTATATTAGATAGTACATGTTACTAAGATTGTAATGGCACAAATTAAAAATACTATCAGCATAGTACTTCAGGTATGAAAAGATACAATTAGTAATATTCAATATGCAGAATGGCCCCTTGCAGGCCCCTTGTCATTATATGTATTGCTAGATAAGTATTATTGATGCATTAATGTGTAAGCAACATTTCAATTGAACAACTTTCACTCAGTTGGGCAGTTTAATCTATATGAAATGATTATTGTCTGTGAAGCAATTACAATGAATCCCACATTTACAAGCAGCAAAATTGAAGAGTTGATGAACTAAGTATAATCCAGGTAAAACAAGTCTCTCTCTCTCTCTCTCTCTCTCTCTCTCTCTCTCTCTCTCTCTCTCTCTCTCTCTCTCTCTCTCTCACACACACACACACTTTCTCTCTCTCTCTCTGAAGGAGTGAGGGAGGCATGGTTACAAACTCCTGGCTGCTCCCCCTACTGAAGCACAGAGGCGCGCTGCTGCTGTCTTTCTCCGCAGAGTGGGGATTTAGCCCGGCCAGAGAGGGCTCACACAAGAGAGGAGGGTCACAAAATAAAGTACAGACCGCTATGGGGGACGCGCAGCACCGCAGAGAAACGAGAACGGTTGCTTAGTTTTCCTGTGTTATGAAGAACATGCGGGAAAAACTCACGACAGTTTAGGGGATTTCGCATCAAAACGTTAAGGAGCACCGTTCGGGAGTACCTGAATACCTGCAGTGTGTTTCGCTCTTAGCCTCGGTTCGGTGACATTGAGAGACACACAGAGGGGGATAGTGGGACTATAAAACGGAGCAGGAGGAAAGTTTCTCAAGCTTGGCGCAGACACAGCGGTGAAACAATGCTGCTGACCCCGACCAAGTGCGTTTCATCGGCAGCCCTGCTAATCCTGCTGGTTGTCCGATGGTCCGACAGCAGTAAGTAAACACTCACATGCTAGGTGGCTAGCTAGCTCGCTAAGTCCCCTTTGACATGTGTAGCTGATGATGATGTTATTAACGGCTTCAACTGTATATTTTTAGTAACCTTCATGAAATGTTTTCGTTGTTGAGGGCCAAAATATAGCTTAAATCCTGAGTTGTTTGACCTTCCCTTGCTCTTGTAGATGAATTCATGTATTTTTGGGTGTCTTTTTTTAGTTTCGTTGTCTCCCCAAGAGGCAAACCAGTTTCTGAGCAGACACAGGAGAGCAAATCAAGTTTTCGAGGAGACGAAGCAAGGGCACTTGGAGAGGGAGTGTGTGGAGGAAAAGTGCTCCAAAGAGGAGGCCAGAGAAGTATTTGAGAACGACCCGGAGACTGTGAGTATATTATATATTTCTGCACCAAACCGCCACTAAAAAGTTATGGTATTTAGTCTAAGGTTGCATAGTTGCAACCCAAACACCATTACAACACCCCAACTACCATCCTCTGCATTGAGTCAGTACTAAAAAGTAGTCGTTGACGGTCTGGTAATATTTCAAAACACTATTACCTGAAATGGGACCATAATAGTAGTGTTATTTTGAAAACATTAAGTTGCAATGTTGGTTGTTGACATGAAGTTGATATTGACAGTAAATTCATGATGCAACAGCAGAATGATTCATTGTCTGGCCCCGTGGTGTTCATGCTCCAATAAGTCCTCATACTTGTCAGTGCACATACTATTCCCATTCCCATGTCAAGGACTTGGCATGTTTTCCCTCTTCTTTTGTTTGCTCCTTTGACAGACACTGAATCAGCGTGACTAAGCCTTAGTTTATGATATACAATTTCAGTGAAGACACTGCACTCCTTTTCATACTTGCACAAAATAAAATGGCACTATTTCACATTAATACTGTATAGCCCTATACTGCAGATTAGTTTCCATTCTGCTTTAATAAATGCAAAGAGAAGCCTCTTCATCCATGTGAATGTCAACCTATTTAATATGTAAAACATATGCTGAATATGCAAACAGGCCCAAAGATAGAAATTATGTAATGTCATAGAAAACATCTATACAGACACCTGTGTGTAGTCACTGAGCAGTTATATTATGTTATTGTTGCCCAAACCCCTTTGGGTTGTTAGCTTTCAAGAAATAAGGTCAACAAGTGTATCCTGACAGTGTTGAATGTATTTTTTTCCGACTGCTTGATTTACAAGTGAGGGATTAAAAAAAAAAAAACGGTACCTGTTTGTTGGCAATGTGCTGGTGCTCCCTAATGATGGCGGCCCTCAGGAAGTTTTGATGCTTTGAATTGCAGCGAAAGAGTGAATGAGGCAATCGATGAATGTGAGATTACTCATAAGATTAGCCCAGTGGACTGACATGGAAGCTGAGGGAGAGAGGATTAAAGCAAAGTTGAGCTGGGTTTGGGAAAAAGGTGAAGTCAGTTTGAGACAGCTGGACGCACATCACTATCAGAATTGTGATAGTGTGCCTGTATTCTTAAACCATGTCGTGCCACAAAGCTGCAGTCTCATTCATAGCTGAATTATTCATTCTGAAAGGGCCTGTCTCTGACTCTGCATTTTCTTCTACTGCTGCAGCTTTCTGGCTCTGCAGAGAGAGGGTGTTCCTGGATACTCACGATTATCTTTGGCTACACACGCAAGCATGCAGTGTTTCTGGTCTCTCACTTGTTAGGTGGAAGAAAAGGTGTCAAAAGTGCTTTATTATGCCAGAATTAAGTTTACTAATAGCCCCAAACTAGTGCTGTGACTGACTGCTGCAAATTATTTGTTGCTGCAAATATGAGTTATAATCAGACTTGTGTAAAATGCTCCTAGCTTTATATGATTTGTGTCTGATAACTAATTCTTCTGGCTCCTGCTGCAGCAACAGCTCACTCAAACTCTGTGCCTCCATAGCCATTTTTCACATTGGTAGATCATCCCCAGGTTTTGACCTATATGTTCAGAAGCACTGCAGCCAGGAGGAGGGAGGGATGCTACTACTATCAGGAATGCAGAGAATTCTCAGGGACCCTTTGGCAAAGGGCCGCACCCGTTAGAGAGAAGACACACACACACACAGATTACAGATAAATCATGTTGTAATCTCTCTCCAGACACTAAACACATACACACCTGTCAGAATTAACGATTGTTTATGAGTCTCTTTGCACTCCCCTGAGTGTAAACACAGAGTTAAGGCATGAAGCAAAAACAAATCCTAGATTATGTCAAATATTAGCAGAACTTCCCGTACTAACCGTATATATGTATTAAAAATGTTCTGTTCTGTTTCAATTTGTGTTCAATAGGCCTACGTAACTTTTCTCTCCTCTTTTTCCACTTCTTCCCCCTGATTTAGGACTACTTCTATCCCAAGTATTTAGGTAAGTTATGCAAAGTTGCATACATGTTTTCATTTCTACTGATAACATCCGGTCTTGATTTTAATGTTTGTTTCTGTCTAGCCTGTATGGAGAAGTTTGGAGATGCCGAAAAGAAGAAACAGGATCTGATAACTTGTGTCCATAGTAAGTTTTATGCCCTCTTATCTGTCTAACAATGTATTTCAAAGCTTGATGGCAGAACTGCGGGAAGTGTTTTTTACTCACCTTTCAGTCTTTATTTTCTCTGCTGTGTAAGTAGTATTAGGTATAGAGAGAGGTTGCAGTGTGGGGTTGGGCTGCACTGCAGTATCACCCCTCTGCATCAAACTAAGGCACACTCTATAGGCAGAAAAAGAAAGCACGCAGCTGAAAGGAAATGCTGAATTTCTTAGGCAACTCCAGGTCAGTTCTTGCAGCGTGACACACCTGAGTGTGTGACTTTGAAGAGTGAGCTGTATGATGTATAGGTGTCTGTGAGTAATATTGCAGCACTTTGCTACAGTGATGCTGCAGATTGGTGAATGGGGGACACACCCCTTTTGTCGTCACATACTCACTCTCTCTGCGTGACTGCACCAGCCTCTTCCTGAGCTTGCTTAGTGGAGCAGTGACGTGAAACAAAACGACTGACGTGAGTGGAGCACGGGGTTTCTGCTGCATGAGGATACAAGAGAGCAACCGGCTTCATTGCTATTGGCTGAGGAACCTCGAGGGGGGGGTTCCATGACTCAGCTGCAGCATCATGACACGGCAGCTCAGCGGCTATCTCTCTCTCATCACTTTTCTTTCTCTCACTGCAACTCTCTTCCCGTCTGTCTCTCGCCTCACTGCAGACTCATGGTGGGTGGTATTCTGGTTTTAAAGCAATCATGACATTCCTTTTATTCAGACATGTCATGTTATGAAAACATACAGTATCAGCTTCATATTTGCACATGCCAAAAGCACCGCAGAGACTGTTTATTCTCCCACTCCTCCTCCCTGTTTCTGTTCCCTTAGTCTGCAGTTTACACACTCACATATTTTGCTGGTTCTTTTGCAGAAAATAGAATAATCAAACACGCATATTCCCATCGTCTAGCATTTACTGAAAGCGCCAATAATTGTTCCTGTAAACCTTCGGGGGCCTTATTCAAATGGACATTGTGGTAGCCCATGGTGTCTGCTTTATTAAATCAAATCAGTTGCACATAGGACCTCTGCATTTTTAAGCCTACAAAACAAGTGAGAGTCCTGTGGTTACCCTCCCCTTAGAAGCTGACAGATGTTTGTTCATGTTTCTGTGTTTTCAATTGGTGATCTCCTTCCTTTTTCCTCCCCTTTTGTTAGGTCCACCTCTTGTTTGTTTTTATTATCCGTTAGTAATTAGAAATCGTCTCCAAAACCTCTCACACCAGGAGCATGCAATTTATAATGATTTAATGTTGCCACCATTTGCAGCAGTCAGTGTGATATGTGATCATATGTGAATTGTTAATAAAAGTCAGTCACTAATTGCATAAGGGCATTTATTATACCGCGTTGCACATCAATCATTTGGCAATGTTGTGCCGTGTGAGCTTATTTCCAGGCTGTTCCCCTAATTCTCTCCACACACGGTCTCCCACTCTCTCTGAACTCCAGCTAACATGCCCAGACATGTCGAGCAGTCACACTCCACTGCTAGGAAAACAAAATTGCATTTGGGAGAGAAAAGATTGACTTGCACAAGCTTGGCATGAAAGCTTGTGTAAGTGAAAATATGTATTAGAAAAAATAGATATTCAGAAAAGTTGAATATCCATTGGTTTTGTTTTTAGCTAGAGGGTAGGTATGCTGGGAAGGACGGAATCAGTGCATATCAGGCTGGAGGGCTTAGCCAGCATAAAGTTATTTATATTGAACTCCTGATGTGCAGAACATAAGAGGCGCCCTTCCTCTGTCTGGTGTCGATATCCAGTCTGTTATAATCCCTGTATGCATCTGGTTTGTCCAGACTACATTTTAAATCCGAATTAACCCTCCCATTTCTCTGTGTTTTCCTCTTTTTGTTTCTCTCTCACTTGAAGATATACCGGATCAGTGCTCCCCTTCGCCCTGTTATCCCAGCGGTACAGTGCGCTGCGAGGACAAAAAGGGCGACTTCCTCTGTCACTGTTTCACAGGCTGGGCAGGAGCCAGATGTGAGAAAGGTACTGTCATCGCTATGGAAACAGTTGGACAGTGTGTGGTAGAGCTCAACAAAGGTTGAATTTGTGCACCGTCACTCTGTGTCATCTCCAGCCTCACTCAATACATTTCATAATCTGTGTATAATCTGTGTGACTTTCTTTCTGACAGCCTGTCCTGTGAACTGATAGAAAGATCTGACTTCCCATCACTTCTAATCGTCATTTACTGGAATTGTCAAATAGTTTAATTGTTTCTAATTATGTTCGTGTGAAGTTTTTTGTTTTGACCTTTTTAGAACTCTAACCTAGTTTTGCCTTTCGCTCTTATCTTACAATTGCAACTGCTGTTGTTGACATGCCTCTTTAATATCAACTGTTGCCGCTGCAGCTCATAATGATGTGTGAATTGTGTGTCAGGTCAATTTGAGCTGCATGTGCGGGAACTCACAACAGCAATCTCTTTGTCTCATTAGAGGTCAAAGCTAGTTACTGTGTATGCAGGCTTACATTGGAAATCACAGCAAGAACTCCATTTTACAAGGGGAAGGTGTAAATATTAAGTTTACATGCAGGAACTGAAAAACACGTTACAAACAGAAACACTGAGTGAGAGGGAAAGTGGTTGGTTTATGGCACAGCATCATTTCCACTGTGACTCATCCTGCCACCTTACTGCGAGAGGAAACCCCGACAGATTCGGTTTGACTCGGTCTAAGCCTTTCCACTTGATGACCGCACTCTTCCTAAACACTCCGCTGCAACACAGCCACTATGACATAGGCTGTACGTTATTTGTCAAGTGTTTAACACAAGTACAAATAGAACATTTAGGTGAGCTTTTCAAACTGTATCAAACTTCCCCCTTTGGCTCCTGTTCAGTATTTCAAAAGTAAACTTCGAAACTGTTTAAACACAAGATGATCCTGAATTCCTGGGGAAAGCTTTACAGAAGCCAAAGAAGCTAATGTTTTCACAGCCCATGATGATGTTTTTCCTGCGCTGACTGTCCTGTACGCTCTTTTTTTGCAGATGTCGACGAGTGCAGCAAGAAAAGCGTAGAGTGTGAACACATATGCAACAACACGATGGGCAGTTACCGCTGCTCCTGTCGCCAAGGCTACATGTTGGTAGGACGCCACACGTGTAAAGGTGAGCACATCCTCAATACTGTCACTGCAGCATCACTTTTTGAATCAGTCTGTCTTAATAATTGTGAATCCACTAGAAAAAAATAAGGTTTTTCAATTTGAACATTTCTGTGGCTGCAGTCCCGTAATCCAGTGGCAGTGTTTTTCTCTCCCGTGACATAATTATCATTTTGTTTCCATAAAGAACACATTTAGGTAATAAGTAAGGAAAACACATTTCAACCTCACAGACCCTTAGTCACGTTCAATATTGCAAACTCATGTTTTGCAAGCAACCTTTAATTAACCCACATAAACCATGATAAAGACACATTGATATTTCTATTTAATTGCCTTTAAAATCTTTGATGGACAATTAAGAATTGCTAACAAAGCACTTATATACTAATAAAGGACTGGCTTATCTAAAGCCAGTTGAGTAGCACTTGAAATGTTTTGGCTCTATGAAACCTGATGTACTTATATGATTCTGTTTTCTTCAAGTTTGTGTCTTCCTGGTCGAATGCACTTATTGTAAGTCGCTTTGGATAAAAGCGTCAGCTAAATGCAATGTAATGTAACATAGATTCGGTGAGTGCTGTAACAAGTGTCTCATTTATTTACTTTAAATACAGTATTACTCTGACAAACAGTTTGAAACAAATGAACCTGTTGACCTAATTTTAAAGCTGCTTTGGGTTCATTAATGAGGTCATTTTGATTCAAGGGAAACTTTGCCAATGTTGCTCCGGCTTTGTATTGTTACGGTCTGTGTACAAACTTGCAAAATAAACGGCATGTTTCTCAGCATCAGCGGCAGGGATCACCGGGCGCAGGAAGCACAAAGAAGAGCCAAATATCTTTCAATCACACACACCACCCACATTCCAACGCTACAAAGCCGCGGCTTGACAAATCAAATCGAGAATTTACCAGCAATTTCTTTTGTGGCTTATTCTAATTTCCAACTCCTTAAATGAATTCAGTTTAGTCTGACAAATGGGGTTCCTTACACTAATGAGCAAATGCACAACAAACAACCGTTTAGTGTTTTCTGGTTCTGATTCCCAGAAGACTCCAACCCCTCCAGCTGACATTCATTTTGTCTTCTTTCAGATGTGGATGAGTGTGAGGACCCAGGTGTGTGTGGAACCGCACGATGTGAGAATAAGGAGGGCAGCTATGATTGCTTGTGTGATATCGGATATGTCTACGACAACGAAACCAAAAGCTGTGTTGGTAAGTGTGTGTATACAAACAAACACAGAGTTTCATGAGAACTGACCGAGGAGCAGCTCCAGCCGCAGCAGGACTTGATGCAGCTGTGTTGAGGGGTTAGGAAAGGAATGCAAAGATATTTGGAGAAATTCTGTTTAACTAGGTAACAGGTCATGTTCTCTATGCCTTAGAAAACCGTTTTTTCACAGGAAAATACACACAGTGACCCTTTGATTCACATAGGTCTGGTACACAGACCTTTGAAAGTACCTTTTTTCGATTTCAAATGCGGTTAGGTCAGAAATTAATGAGGTCAAATAAAGGGCAGCAATCAGGATGAACTAACACATTAGATATGCTATAGGTGTTTTTCACTTTTGACAGTCAGCTTAAACTCACCAAGTCTTGCTTTACAGTATATGCATTGAGCAACATTACCAATCCTCATCTTCAAGTGACCTTTAGTAAGTGTGATTTTAAGAGCCCACCATGTACACATAATGATATTGTACAGTATGTCAAACAAGTTTAATCTCACCCTGTCCCCCTAGATTTGCAGCAAAAGTCTCACTGCTCGCAATACATTATAATACTCAAGAATCTAAGAATATCCAAAACAAAAGCCATACTGTCTGTTATTTGAAAAGATAACATTCTAAGATAAATAACTACAACATTATGCATTTTGGTAAAACATTGAATGAGAATTCACTGTTTGCTCGGCAGTGGAACCAGACTTTTTATAACCTCTGCGTCCCTCCTCTGAGAATTAGTGTTTTTTTAGCTAGCTCTCTCTCATGGCCATGTACGGTTGTATATGAAGCGGGGAGATACCACCCAGTCACCGTCAAACACCACTCGACTCAAGTGTTGTTTGCATTCCCTGATATGTTGACAGGAAAGAGATGTTTTTTTAACGCTCAATGATAACATCATGAACTCTCTGTCTTTGTAGCCCTTTATACCTCACATGTATTTTTATCTCTTTGTAAACTCCTTCAACCTGCTCTGTACCCGTCAGATGTGGATGAGTGTGAGACGGGTGTGTGTGCAGAGGAGTGTCTGAACACGCCGGGGAGTTTCCGTTGTTTCTGTGATGGACGTCAGGGCATGAAGCTGGGCCAGGACCTCAGGAGCTGTAAGGTGAAACACATGATCTGTGGCCAATATCAACCAGCTATTTCATAGTTCAGCTCAAGCCTATGTTGTTAAATATGAACTATTTACTGCAACATTACTGCAACATTCACTGCGTTAAAGATCTCCTATCGTGCAAAATGCACTTTTGTATGTCTTTTATGCATAAATATGTGTCCCCCGGTGTGTAAGGGAACTCACAAAGTGTCAGAAAACCAAACCCTCTCTCTTTTCCTCCGTACACAAATCTCTAAAAACGGGGGTACAACGGAGCTGTTCCAGATTTTCTGCCGATATTACGTAATATCGGAAATGTGGGCTGGCTTCACGGCAGCATTTAGCTGAGTATCTGGGTAGAATTCTCCTGCATAAGGATGCATTTTCTTTTAAAGCTACGGACCCAGAATCAGCACTTCTCTAACAGGGCTGAAATAGAGGGGTATGAGGCATGGCTAGAATGGTTGATCTGTTAACGCTTCATATACATGTTTTCTATATATTTTTCTGAGACCTATAATATATGCCTAAAAATAGCATAATAGAAGACCTTTAAGTAATTTAAGAGTCCTATGGTTCTCATGGAGTAGCAGCATACCTTATCCACAGTTGTCTGTTTGTGTTTCACAGCCTATAACCCCCTGCATGTCGCCGTCTCTGAAGAGGAACCCTCGCTCGCTCTACCTGGGCCGCATGTTCAGCGGCGTGCCAGTGGTGAGGCTGCGATTCCGTCGCAGGATTCAAACCGGGTAAGAACATGTTACGCTGCTCAACACTGTCAGCAGTTGTCTCCTAACAAAACATCAACAGCTCTGCACTCATTCCTAACAGTAAGTTTAATGACAGATACAGTATTAAAAAGACACTTCCTGTTGGTAAGTCCTGTTAAGAGTGTTTTAGTTTCACTTATGGATGAGAAGACTAGTCTAAGGAGGTCTTAAACATTTTTCTTAAAGGTTTTGAATAATAATAGTTTATGGGTGAAGTGTTCCTTTAAGTATTTCTCTGGCATCTCAGAGCTGTCCAAGAACCTGCAATAAACTCCAAACCTGTTTTTGCCCGTGTGTTGATTTACAGTATCTGTATTAGAAGATCAAATAATTGAAGATTTGGCCTATAATCAAATACTTTTAGAAGTTTTTGTTGATATTTTGTTTTTATATGGGCATGTTTGTAATAAAGTCAAACACCGGGCTGAACAGTCTCTTGTTTTGATGTCTGACAAAGGTAAGATAAGATGGAACTTTATTTTTCCCCTTTGGGAATTTCAGGCGTTAATATTTAGCAACAGTGTCAGAATGAAAAACAGGATTCACACAGGGTCAAAATAAAGATAAAATAGAATACAAATTAAAATAATAATATAGCAAAAATAAAGTAACTATTGAAACAAGATATCACAGTAAAAAGTTGTGATAGGGAAAATAGTTCCTGTAAGTTTGTTACAGCTAGAAATAAAGGTCTAATTTTAGCTGGGAAAATGCCGCCCACTTGTTTGCGTGCCAAGTGGATAGCAGATTAAATTATTTTGGTCACTCAAAGGTTTTCTTTCCGGTTCGGTCTTTCCTCTTTAATTGTATTCTCAATTATATTTGTCGTAAAAAAAGATAATTGAAATAAACTCTGCTCCCCAGCTTCTCTGCAGAGTTTGACTTCCGCACCTACGACCCAGAGGGGGTGATCTTCTTCGCCGGGGGTCACCTAAACAGCTCGTGGATCGTGCTTGCAATGCACCATGGGAAGCTGGAGCTGCAGCTGAAGTATGGCACAGTCAGCAGGGTCACCAGCAGCGGGCCCATCGTCAGTGACGGCCAATGGAGAAAGGTTAGACTCTTCATGAACAGTGATATGCTTCTACTTTAGCTTCATTAGCTGAACGCTTCTTTAAATGTCTTCTTGTTTTCTCTCCAGATCTCGGTGGAGGAGCAGGTGCGCAGTCTGGTGATTAAGATCGACAGGGAGGCCGTCATGAAGATTGCAGTAAACGGCGATCTGTTTACGCTAAAGAAAGGCATGCATGAACTCAACCTCACCGTGGGAGGAGTCCCGTTCAGAGAGGACGGCCTCGTCAATCAGGTGTTTATCTCTATGTGCTTGTGTTTTTTAACTTCCGCAGAAGGAGTTAGCCAATCTGCTCGGTTTGTCTGTCAGTCTGTCAGCATGATGATGGAAAAACAACTAGCCCAGTTTTCATTAGACTTGATGAAAGAGTGAAGCCAAGAAAGAATCCTTAGGCCTGACATTGAGATTGAGTTTTGACAGATTGTTTTGACTACGTAGGTAAACCCCCGCCTGGACGGCTGTATGAAGGACTGGAAGTGGTTGACGGGTGAAGATACTTCCATACAAGAAACGGTTCGGTCCAACGACAACATGCAGTGTTTCAGCAGCGAGGTTCCTGGAGCGTATTTCCCCGGCACCGGCTTCGCTCTCTTCAACATCAGCTATGGTGCAGTGTGTGGATGTGTGGGAGTGTGATCTGAGCCTAATGGCAGTTTGTTAATGTTTCATTTGAATTGGGGAGTGTTCGTTGGCTCCCGTCATTGTCCTTGAACTGCTGTTCTCCTACTTCCTGTTATCTTCACTACAGAATCCCAGAACCTGAGCGTACAGTTGAGCCTGCGTCCGACCTCTGCGATCGGAGTCCTGTTTGCACTCGTTCACCAGGACAGAGTCCCTCTCTCCATCGTGCTGGCTGACTACCATCCCGGCACAGATGAATGGAGAGATGTAAGTGTTTAAAAGTTCAACTTGTGTATGTTTGTTGTCTGTGTGTGAGCTATTTACTGACCTGTTGTGTGTTTTCAGTATATACTGGTGTCACTGGGTGATGTCATCATTGCGAGCTCTCCCGCCCCCCTGTGTGACGGGGACAGTCATGACATCCAGGTGACGCTCTCAGGAAACCAAACCCTGCTGCTGGTCGATGGCAAGGCTGGACGCAGTGAAGACGCTGACATTCCTTTTGACATCCTTTCACAGTCCAGCATCTTTATAGGAGGCCTTCCTGGTGAGGACACGTCCTTCTATAAACACATTTATCAGATTCATGCAGTATGTGGGGATTTATTTATACAGTATGAAGGAAAAGTATTGTGCAGATGCTACACACTTAAAGTGGAGGGTTCAAAATTGGCACAGTGAAATATAAAAATAATAGTCGGGCATTTTCTCTTTTTTCAGTATGTGAGAATATGGTCTTATAACAAGCACATGCATATGGACATTAGTGTTGCCATGCATTTTACGTCAGTAAATTCTGGTCTAGAACACGTGGCAAAACATTGTTGATATGTTGCACATTTAGATTTCTTAATTGCATAGCCAAACAAGCCTTGTTTTATCCAGTTTCCTTGAGCAGATCAATTGAATGATTTAAAGATTAAAAACTCTTTCACACTGTTTTGTTCAGTTAATAAAAAACATGACTGGGTGATTATGCATAATTATGGAAATGTATGCGATTTATAAACGTCTCACTTTCTTTTTTTGCACCGTATATGCAAGAAGAGTTGAGTCGACAGAAAAAGAACCCCCTATAGATCCAAATACTTATATAATTGATAAAAGCGCTACGTGTTGGGGTTGCTGACTCTGATTCAACACACTGACTAATGCTGTTTGCACTCTGGAGAGTTAGATCTCCTACACAGCGCATGTTGTTTCCTGCTGGATGACATGTTGTTGTTTCTCCCTCAGATGTCCCTCTGGTGTCCACGCTGGTGTCGGCGCCCTACAGCGGCTGCATGGAGGTCAGTGTTAACGGACACCCTCTGGACTTGGACCAGGCCCTCCACAAACACAACGACATCCGCTCACACTCCTGCCCCCTGCTGGACTCTCGCCAGTGACCACAGCAACTGACGCTTTAGCAGTTCATTGAGGCAATGGGGATTATTTCCAATATATTTATAAAAGCTTTGACCAGTGATGATTTAGATTGGAACACACATAAAAGCTTTGCCAGGTTTTGGGGTTCAGCTAAAGCCTTAGCCCAGGATCACCCTGTCCTCTTACTGTGACGACACTGCTGCCTTCAGGCATCAGTGGGGATTCACAGTATTCTCTAATGACTCCATAAGGAGTTAATAAGCCAATCAGCGATGTCCCCTGTGCAATTTCTTGGAATAAATGCTGCACAACATTGCCTCAAATACTGCCCATGCACCACAGCCTTGTGAGCCCATTAGAACACACAGGGCCTTATCTAGAGCTATGTCCAATGATTGGTCTGGGGTCAGCACACTACGCCTGGGTCCTGTGCTCAATCCGATTTGACGGGACCTCTGTAGGCACAGTGACTCCGCTGACAGAGCTGCGGTCGTGTTGCTTTCTTCCATTCTACACAACAACCACGCTCATGTAGAATCTGATGAAATGAAAAAAATGGGGACCAGATCATAAGAGTTTTATTGGCTTCCCTTATTCAAAGGAAATCATTGAACATTGCTCAGATCTCCATGAGTGTTTGGTTCATCATTATTTTAGGGGTTGATCAGGGACTTAATCAATCTTATTTGTTCCTAACAAGAAGCCCCCTTTGTGTAGAAAACTTTGCACATTGTTGCAGGTAGCAATGGACTGCGCGTGAAGCCGGTTTCCCCCCTCCCACTAAAGCAACACTCCATGTCTGCCTGCAACCTTAAAAATCAACCGTGTGCCTACAAAGAACAACCAACCCAAACTTCGCAGCAGCTTCCCTCCAAACAGGTGAATCATATCACACAGGTGCAGTACTGTAACACACAGATAATGCTTTGCATTGCAGTTAACACACTATGCATTTCCACCAGTGCATTCTGCAGCACTTCAGTCTTTTAAAGATTTGACTGACACCCTGATTCTCACTAATCCTCAATCACATGATGATAGATTAGTCTCAGAAGCACAGACCGGAAGGTGCCCTCTCCATTAGGAGAGAGTGAGCACTGCATCGAACGCACCACAAAGCTACTGAGGGTAAGAAGAGTGCGCTGTAATATACTAAGTATGTAAATAATGTGACTGTACAATGCTTTATAGAAGACAGAAAAACACTACCTTCTGCTCACTGAGGTTTCCTGCACACTTAAGTTGATCCAGTAATCTGAGTCTCTCCACTTCTCTTCACTTCATCTGCTTCCTAAAAACATTTGGATAACAAAGACACAATTCCTATCATGAAAGCTGAAGGGGGAGACTCTGAAAGCGATATCCATGGATCAAAGGGTCGTACATCTTTGGGGACTCAATTTTTAATTTGATTTTACAGGTGCTGAGCAAATGAAAACACAATTAAAAGAGAGAATGTCGGAGCATTGTGACTGAGAATGCCAAAAGGGCTCCAGTGTTATTTTACTTCGCTCTGTATTGTATCATTTTCTAGATTTCTGATGAATGAATGCCAGAATATAGAACTTGATGAGTTATTGTATTTTTTATCATGTGTTGTATATTGAACTTGTCTTTAGTTTTCATTTTTCACTTTCACTAACTGCCAGTATGTGTACAATGGTGAGAGGAGTCTGCCTTTGAGTTTGAACCTCCCTCAACAGTGAAAATGCTATTTAAACTAAAATAAAAGCAGTTGTATGAACATCAGTAAAATTGTATTTTCAAAAAAAAAGTGCTTTGTGGTTTTTGAAGAAAAACAGACAATTGAAACGCATGTTTTATTTAATGCGAACAAAGTTTGAAACTTTTTATTTGAGGAAGAATTGTTTTATTCACATATATAGTCTCTTTAAGGTGAAGTAATACAATGAAAACACCTGGTTTTGCTATTAAAAGTTGTACTGATGATTCTAAAAATGTGACAGTTAAAATAATTTCTTTGACATTTTGGTAAATAAAATTATTCCCTTTCTTGCCCAGAGATTAGAATATAAATAATTGTCCTATTTAACTCTCGGAAAGCAGGCGAATAATCCTATTTCCCAACACTTCCCTTTTATCAGAGATTCCAATTCACTAGACATTCATTGTGCATCAGTGAATAAATATTTCTTAAAGGTACCTCTTTAATACATTATGTATTTATAGCAGCTACACGATCCCATCCCACAGCAGTTTAATCATCATGCATCATCAATAATAAATACATTATACTGACTTTAAAAGTGCACATTACACAATTCACACAAAACATAAATAACAGCAACGTCAGTGTCAACATTTACTCTCCAGTTCAAGAAAGCCCTTTGAATGACTAATACAGTAGTTAAGTGAGACGATACACAATAAGACCTGTAGTCCAATCTACACAAGTTAGCAAGATCATATCCAAGTGTACGACGATACGATTATGCATATGAAACAGGTTAGCATGGGAGGCCAGCTCTAGGCTTACAGAAGTGTGACATTTTGTTTTTATTTAATTTCACCAACTTCCCCAATAAAAGCACATCACCAATTTACAATAACGTTTTTGTAAAGATGAAGGTAACAAGATCAAAATTAAATTGTTGGTGAGGTTTAAAGGTGTTGTTTGGGGGATTTTCTCCATTATATCCAGACTTAGCCACCGTTAGCAGTTTGATTTTGAAGCTAAAGATTCATTTCACCTATAAAAATGTGTACCAATCTTATTACCCTATTCAAAAAAGCAAATTTGTTTATTTCCTAAACAGTTCCCTTAAAACACATGAAATATCTTAATGTCTGTATACTCACACTTCATAGCTATACCTCTGTATCTCCTCAGTGCGAACACAGTAACATGTATCAGTACAGAGTGAAGCCCACTGTCTGCTCTCCAAGGTCATCTATGAAATGTCGTGTGCTACTTTCAGTCCGACAAGGTCTAGATATATTTCCTCCAACAGGCCCCAGGTGTTGGGCTGGGGGCTCAGCAGGCGTAAGGTGGGGGTTTTTCAAAGGGATTGTAGGCGGAGCCGTAGAGGACCGGAGCGTTGGGGGTCAGCATGTAGCCCCCTGGTTCCTGGGTGCCCCCCTGAGGCTGGGGCTGGTTGGGGATCTGAGAGGGGGGCTGGCTCTGGTTCTCCTCAGACGGGCAGGGGGTGGAGGCATTCCCCCCCTCAGGGACCATCTGAGGAGTGGCAGGGGGCTGATAGCTGCTGTTGTGCTGTGGGAGAGGGGGACACAGGGAGTGGTAGCCTGCATCGCTACAGTGTATGTGGAAGTAGAGCCAAAGATAACCAAATTCATTTTAATGTGAGGTGTGGCTTTTATTCTTTGTGTAGTTTGACACTTAAATATAAGTAATCAATACATCTGTGGGACTAATTTCAGACAAAATCACCATGATATAAATAAATGAAATTGTATCTGTGGATTTAAGGTGATTAAATCCACAGCTAATGTATATGTTATTATAGTTTTCTTAAAATAGTTTGCTATCTCTGTTTTTAATTTTTGTTTTACTTTTATGAATGCACCACAATACCAAATCAAATTCCTCGTACGTGTCAACCTACCTGGTAATAAACCTGTTTCTAATTCTGATTCTGATATAAAAAAGAAAAGTACTTCTGCCTTTTTTGTCAGAAATGTCATGATAGGAAAAGCAATAATAACATCAACAATGGCTCAGTTGTATTAACACGTCACAGTGAGACTGAGCCAGCATGCACAGAAAACCTTGAACTGAAGCAGCCTATTTGAATTTAATTTAATTTAAATCTTTATTATACCTTCTGTGAACAAAAAGGACCTAAATGGTTATTTCTGAGCCATTACCTGCATGGGGATTGGATAGTTGGGGTAAGCGGGCAGAGTCTGTCCCGATGGGCAGTAGCCAGCGTAGGTGAGCATGTGCTGCGAGGGGTTGTAAAGGATGTGGGGGGGTGGTGCGGGGCTGGTAGCCGTCTGAGGAGTGGGCTTCTGCTGCAGGAAACAATAAAAAGGATTTGGATGAGATGGGAAATTATCAAATGAAGCTCAAAGGAAAACGAGAGTGAGTGTGCACCAGTTACTCATGAAATGCACACATTATAAAGGAAGTAATGAACTATGATTGCTGCTCAATGTTCTGTATGGACGTCTATCCTAACACCAGGACCATTCAATTAAATGAGATCAGAGATATCCATGTCTCTGAAACATCATAAACTGCATTTACTGATGAAATTGAACTGAGGGAAGCGGATATCTGCACACTTGCCACATACTCATTGTCCTAAGTGTTTTAGTTTTTTAGCTTTTAAGGTTATTTGTATAGTTACATTTACATTTGGTGTAAATACTTGTCTTTAGCATCCTTTTTTAATCCTAAATTGTTTCTTAAAAATACTTATTTCTTAATTATCCTTATATTTCTTCTTTTTTTTTACCTACTTTGCAACTTACTTTTTTAGATTGTTTATGTTCACACCACCAGATACCAAAAACAATTCCTTGTATGTGTAAATAAACTTCTGATTCTGACTTAACACATCATATTAGTATTTAAAAAAAGAGCCTTGGTAAAGTAACAGATTAAAAAGTTAAACACAAAAGAAAAAGAAAATGAAGATTCCAGTATAAATAATACATTTTGACCTGCTTTTCTCTTGCATTTAGAAGTTCTTTCTGATCATTTTCTTTGCCCTTCACTTCAAAGAGTACTATGTTTTGACTCCTTGTCTCTGCTGTAAAGAAGCTCTCTCTCTCCTCTCATGCTCACCATGTCCTTGTACGCCCCGAGCACGGCGGCGGTGATGATGCCCAGGAACAGGCAGAAGACGTTGAGCACCACGGCGGTCCAGAGCAGGCGCTGCAGGTGGATCACGTCCCAGCAGCTGTTGACCCCCGTGAACTCGTAGTACTGGTTGTGGAACTCCGTGCTGCAAGAGGCAGAGAGCAGGACTCAGATCTTAACGTGGTAAGGATGTTGTTCTTGTTATAGATCACTAACCAGGTGTTCTTAATATGCAGAAGAATTTGTTTTGCCCTGAATTCCTCGCAATGTCCATAGCATGTTCCTATTTATTTTAAACTTCCAGGCAGCATTTGAGCTAATAAGGGAGGGACTTCTTTTAGAAAAGCTAGACAGGTTTGTGTTCAGGAGCTCATGGAAAAATCAATATCCGGTTGGCTGCAGAATAAGAACATCTCTAATGTCAAAGAAAATTGCCTCAATTACATAATTCAAGACTGATTTTCCTACAGTGGAGACTGTTCATCCAGCATTGAAATCTAGGATGTGGTTTTAACTGCTCTGTATTATCACAATTCTATTATAACATTACAGTTGGAAGAAATAGTCAAACATGTTCACTGTGGAGGACACCCTGAATAGTAAGAGACACACACACACACACACACACACACACACACACACACACACACACACACACACACACACACACACACACACACACACACACACACACGGTGTGTCTCACCTGGCACAGTTGTACAGGTAGCAACAGTAGCATGTGTTGCTCCTCAGCTTCAGTTTACACGCTTTGTCAAAGGAACGACACGTCACCTGCAGCGTCAGAGGATTTATGAGTTAATCCTTTTTTAGAAACCTTTTTATTCAATGTATGATTACTATTATTTCCAGAACTTTGAATTGCTTTTTATTTGATACGTCTCATTTCAGTGCAGTGACCTTATGAGACCACTAGATGCCACTCGACACTTGGTGAATGTTTTTGGTGGGCACCAAAAGGCTGCAGAATATAGTCAGCTTAAAATGCATTTCAAGCATCTTTTACACATTATTTTAAAGAGAAGAAGATATAAGTAAATAATAAGGAAAACACACAGTAGGTGAGGTGAGGTTAGATACTCATATTGTTAATTGTGAGATAATGGTATGTTTTTAAAAACCAGACAATGGCAGGTGATGAACTTAGTGTGTGTGCAGTGTATAAATCACCTCAGTGTAGTAGTTGTCATAGGCATAAGCCGCTTCGCTGGCGTAAAAGTCACACATGTCCTCCTGCAAGGGTCTTGTGTCCTGTGTGTGGAAAATACAAAAACATTAGAAGCACATATCATCAGTAGAAACACACAGTGACTTCAATGTTTTTCCTGTACTTTTTTAGAGTACATCTCCCAAGTTTAAAGGCTTCCATGATGCACATTTATCTCAGAACCCTGGTTTGTGTTACTCTGTCCGTCCTCGTGTAGTGTCTGTGTGACTGCAGCAGTGAGAGTTTACAACATGTGTCAGAGCCCTCAGCTGCACCCCCACCGACCCTACAGCATTAAACCTCACTGGCTTTATATAATGTGAACAGTAATATAATCTTTTTTCATTGTCCAAAACTTGAAGGTGCGATAAATATGACTTTTTACTGTCCCAAGAGCCAAAATAAAAATATCTGCAGTGGGTTTGATAGCACTGTTGATCAATATCAGTGACTGTGCCAGCTTTTTTAATTCTCTGGTCCACAGTCGTTAAGATGCTCAATAAAGCTCAGGGTGATGGGACAAACTGAGGGGTTCAGAGAGAAATCTAAGATGGAGCTTTTTGACCTCTGCATTTTCTGCTCATTCCCATAAAATGTCAACATTTCGAACACATTCATTTAGTCTGGGAGTTATTTAAGATCTAGTCAGTTTGAAATGGTCTCCTGACTGATGGCATTGGGGAAACACATGATGTTGAAGTGATGGATAAAATGTTCTGGATTAATTAAAACTCCCTCATATGAAAATAAAGAACTAAATGCTGGCATTATGTAACACATTTGCAGTGGGACAAATGAGACGATGAGAATGAAAGTTGTTTTACTTAAAGGTCCCCAATTATACTGTTTTTCATCAATATAATATAGTTCCCAGTTAAAATGTATACAACACATGTATCTGAAGTGCTTGGCTCGAAATACCGTATGCATACAGATCATGCATTGTAGCATGATAGCATCCCATAATCCCCTCTGTTTCAGCCCTGTTTCAAAAGTCCTGATTCTCTGTCTGTTACTTTAGATGAAAATAAGGAACCACTCCCCAAGCCCCTCTGCGAGATATTTGGTTAAAAAAAACACAATGGTGCTCTAGGAGGAGATTCAGGTGATAAGGTGGGGGGGGTTACCTTTGTTGGTTAGGGGGGGGGGGTTACACAACCCAAAAAATCGTTATGACATCACAAAGTGGCCAAATTCTGATCAGCTCATTTTCAGACAGGTTTTTATATAAATGGATCAAGACAAAAAGTGAGCAAATCTTTTTTCTTGAACTTTCAGAATCTCTTTACACAGAGGGGACACATGTTTATGTATACAAGACATAAAAAAGTGGATTTTGCATAATAGGTGACCTTTAATTCAGGAGTTCTGTGGGACAATGTGGGTAACTTTTGGATACATTCAATCAGCCTTGTTCTGCTGAATGTTTCCGTGGCAACTGTCTGACTAACCCTGAGGTCAGTGTGGTGTCGTGTTGGTAAGATCTCTCGGATGTGTGTGTGCCGGTTTCGGCATGTGTTTCTGCAGGCTTCTCTCTGTTCATCTTGATGTGTGGATTTGGCATGTATTTGTTGTATATCTTTCTTTTCAGTTTAGGCGGGTACATTCCTCTATTACTTACAATGAACTCTGACGCGATGATTCCGTCCACAATGGCACAGAAGAAAGAGGCGACAACTCCGATACTGATGAATATGATCGCTGCCACCAGCTATAAGATATGAAGAGGGGAGAATCAGGAGAAGTTATTTGGGAACAAAGATGGAGAGCTCAAGTGAGTTTCATCAGAGTCAGTACAGTACATGTTGGTTGTGTTGAATATACAACAATATGGAATTGAAAGAAACATTTACAGATTTACAAAATAAAAGAATGAGCATTCATAGTGAGCAAACATTATCAATAGGTACATATGGAAATAAGATGGGAATCAAGTTGCAAACTAACAAACCTCTATCATTTATAAAAAAAATCTATATACTCTTCAACATAACCATACATGTAGAGTTCACAGAGATCAGGTTGAAAATAGAGTGAATATAAAAAATATATAAATATCCTCAAAAGTAATTGTTGCATGTATAACTTTTTCTTATCATAGTGTATTTTCATTTTCTTGAGTGTTCTTTCCTTATGAATTCTGATTTATTGATATATATGCTAGAAATGTTATTTTATAAAAGTACACACACACACACACACACACACACACACACACACACACACACACACACACACACACACACACACACACACACACATTTATGTAAGCTTTCTGCATGTGTGTCCTGATTCGTCGTCTGCAGCGTCTGGGCTTTAGGACGATAAAAGAAATGTACGGCTTCTTGCTCTGCCAAAGTAGAGGTGCTTTGTGGGTAATTTATGAGCACAGAGGCGACGTACAGGACAGAGAGACGGCCTTTTGTACCAGCAAGGTCAATTTAATCCTCCCAATCTGATACACACTCTTTCTCTCACACACACACACACACACACACACACACACAGCTGGCTGATCACAGATGCCTGATCGTGAACTTTATCACTGAGAATTGTCTGATGTCTGTTCAATCGCTCCTGCAGGACGAAGCCTGCTGTACTCAGGCAGGAGATTATACACACTAAAGAGAGAGACGAGATACAGCACTTTCTCCCCAAAATGAGTTTAGTTTGTTTTATAATGTACAGTATATCTAACAATCCTACAGTGATATGTCTGTGGGCATTTCTCGAATTGT